AGGCGGGGCCGGGAAGGTGACCCCGCCCCTTGCTGCAGTCCTCAACCAGGTCGGCTCCCGGGCAATAAAAGGACGCCGAGGGCGGGCGGTGGTGTGTGGGGAGCTGCTGTCGAGCTTGGCAGCATGTCTGGCCGGGGCAAGGGCGGCAAGGGGCTCGGCAAGGGCGGCGCCAAGCGCCACCGCAAGGTGCTACGCGACAACATCCAGGGCATCACCAAACCGGCCATCCGCCGCCTGGCTCGGCGCGGCGGCGTCAAGCGCATCTCGGGGCTCATCTACGAGGAGACGCGCGGTGTGCTCAAGGTCTTCCTGGAGAACGTGATCCGCGACGCCGTCACCTACACGGAGCACGCCAAGAGGAAGACGGTCACGGCCATGGACGTGGTCTACGCCCTTAAGCGCCAGGGTCGCACCCTCTACGGCTTTGGCGGCTAAGCCTATAATAGTTAAATTAATACTGTCAGGAACATAAAGGCTCTTTTCAGAGCCACACACAGATTTCACAAACAGAGCTTGTAATTACTCAAGTTAGTAATGCAAAGGAAAAAAAATAACTACTAGAGTTGGGTAATAATTTTTCGTACTTTCAACTATATTTGTACTTGCATTAGTATTACAGCCCCATGACAAAACCCACATCGTATTTGCAATCACAGCTCTTATTAGGAACGTGTGGTGGCTCTTAAAAGAGCCGTTTGGTTTATAACTCCCTGTCCTTTTACTTGGAGCTGGTGTACTTGGTGACAGCCTTGGTGCCCTCGGACACGGCGTGCTTGGCCAGCTCGCCGGGCAGCAGCAGGCGCACGGCCGTCTGGATCTCCCGCGAGGTGATGGTGGAGCGCTTGTTGTAGTGCGCCAGGCGCGACGCCTCGCCCGCGATGCGCTCGAAGATGTCGTTGACGAAGGAGTTCATGATGCTCATGGCCTTGGACGAGATGCCCGTGTCGGGGTGCACCTGCTTCAGCACCTTGTACACGTAGATGGAGTAGCTCTCTTTCCTTGCCCTCTTGCGCTTCTTGTCCCCTTTCTTCTGCGTCTTGGTCACCGCCTTCTTGGAACCTTTCTTTGGTGCCGGAGCAGACTTCGCCGGCTCAGGCATCTTCAAGGTTTTCTTTCAGGATCTTCACTGTGGCACGGCAACATCGAAAATGGCGCCTGCCCCCCCTATTTATAATGGCGTTATGCAAATTAGAGGATTGTAATTGTTCCATTCCTATTGGAGTAAAAAGCACCAACGTAATTTCAGGCACTTCCGTCCTGTAACCGCCAGAGCTCAGGCAATGCATTTGGCACAACCCCAGTTGCAATTCAGGTCCTGAATTTAAGAAAAAAAAATTAGCGCGTGATGCAAACTGCACTGGGTGGACATTTACTAGTGCATTTACCGTCACTAATTTGAGCCCTGTAGATCTTTGTCGTTTAGGAAATATTTACATTTTCTAGAAATCTCAATAACATGGATGCACAAATTAGTAATCAACAGCTCTTCTCATGAGATTTGTAGGTGGCTCTGAAAAGAGCCTTTGTGTTCCTGACAGTATTAATTTAACTATTATAAGCTTAGCCGCCAAAGCCGTAGAGGGTGCG